ACAAATACGAAAGTGACATTCAAATAACCTCTGAAAATTAGAGGACGGGGCAGACTACTGGAAATCAAATAAAAAATGCAAAGTGAAATGGAGAATCAGCAGCTAATAATCTGCCGAAAATTCCTGGTGGCATGTTAGCTAACTAATTTGACAATGTACTGCCTGAACTTCCTGAATAAATGCAATTTTCCACTTTTGTGACAATCAAGTCACGGAAAAAAGAGGAGTTGGTAAGTGATGAATACTATTTCTTGTCTTATTTATCAGGTATGGGTGTACAGACAACGCTGTGGCTTTGTCTGTGGTGCTGGGAACAGAAACAGAAAACAGCTGACGGAGAGATACAGTCCTTGTCCTCGAATAATTTATACCCTACTTGAGTCAGTTCCAAAGGGAACTAGTTAAGCCACCAGAAAATAAAAACATGGCGGGTGAGGAAGCACATGAATGTGTTCACTGGCTCATACCCTCAGATCTTCCTGTCCGTACCCACGCGAGAGAGCAACAGTGCTTTTCATGTTAACTTACAAACAAAACCGTGGGGTGCAGTGCTCTCAGAGCCCAGGTCTGCGGCTTATACTGCAGCATCTGAACTGAAGTTCACTGTGATAACAGACCAGGCTGACTGTAATGAGCCAGCAACTACACGGAGGAAGGAGTCTGGTGAAAGGGTTCTGTATTTACACAAGCCGTTGTGTTTCCTGACATCATGCTCAGCGTGGTTTTGTTTTACTCATTTCAAAGCAAGCGACCTCTGTCCCATTCTAAAGAAACCAGACCACTGGAGGAGAAAAATCTTTGTTTCATTTGGGGAAAGTGTACATTTAAGTGTATGAACTGTACAACCAGCACGAAAAGTACCTGAGTGGGTATGAGATACTGAGAGCGTCCTGATGGTTTCCACGGACAAGAAACTGTCAATATCTAAAAATAACTATAGGTAGTGGCTGTAATGGCATAACTTTCTATTCTAACTTACTATTTGCTGTTGGAAAGCAAATTCATGTATTGTAATCAACCTAAAGATGTGTTACAGGGTTATTTCATACATGGCAGATTCTCAAAGTCCTGAAATGATGACATTGATAGAGTGCCACCACTCTGTTATAACCTTTGTATATTCTTTAAGTGTAACAAATACTTCATTCATTGCTTGCCCTAAACTTTGCATCTGGTGACATTCTTGCTGCTGTGTTAATATCAGGTCTATTAAGCTGGACCTCATGGTCCATTACCCTTTCTTTAGATTTGACCCCACGAAGTTTAGGGGTCTTGAGCACAGTGTGAAAAAGCAAAGGGTTTCACTCTCACCCAAGGAGCTCATTAGGACTTTATAGAAACACAATAAATACTCACACAGTACTAACATTTGCACTGAGGGACGCTCACCAGACACACAGCCTGGTGTCAGAAGGTACCTATTGTTCCCTTTATCCAGGCCTGCACACTAATTTAGCCCGCTAACTAAAGAGAGTGCTCATTTGTAATCTGGCATTTTTTTCTTTGTAGGAAAGATTCACTTACTGGTATCCTTGCTTTGTGGGACTTTTTCTTCCCCACCTTTCTCGGTGTCGATCCATTTCTTAATGCTTCCACTTACATTCTGGATTGCATAATTTAAATCAACTCCCACAGTTCATGAAAGAATTCCAGTGTGAACTGCTGACAGCAATATCTGGCCTGGAGGCTTTCAATCGCTCATAAACCATGTTGGAATTCATTAATACCATTCGCCTTATTAAATGCAGTTTTATAATCCGAGGAAATAGTATTAGATTGGTTTAGGGGACACTTGCCATCAACAGTGGTACGTTAGCTTTAATTTTAAAGTCTAGTTGATTAACTCTCTGACATACCTCCTAGTAATTTTTATTTTATAGTAAGGAGTTACATCGTCACATAGGCCATCTTTTAATTATATTATATTATTACGCCCAATCACTACCATAAGCAGATTCCCATCTTTAAAATACATTTTAGTCTGAAAATGTCACAAAACACTTTCTTCCGGGGGCTTGCAGGCAGCATGAAATGGGATTTCTACCCAGAAGCAGAAGCAGCTTGTGATCGTGAAGTCCCTTCTCTAAGGATGGCTTTTACGAGGTGCGGTGGGAGACTTGAACCCTACCATTCAAATTAATCAGATTTTCTTGGGGAGAATGCCTCTGGAACCCCCTACAAAGACTCTTTTCCTCCCCCCTACACTGCAAATTACTTAATGAAAACACTCCATTACACAAAACAAAAGGGCTTTTCTGCTGATGTCAATCAAGCACTGATGGTTTTGTTTTTGTTTCTAAAACAAGAAAACGAAGGGACAATTTTGTTTTACAAAATCTGGATGAATCACCTCACTGCATAACTTTCCAAGAAAATCTCACTGGTGACTTGGGAAAAATACTGGCCACTGAACAATTTCCAATTCCAGACCATGTGATAAGATTCAAATATAAGCCAAACAAATCATCTTTTTTTTTTTTTAACCAACCAGCTACTCTTTTAAGAGAAAACTGAGTTAGAAAATGGGGTGTGCTTTGCTTTGGTATATTCACTCATACTTTACTGCATGTTAGGAACTTGGCTATTCATATTATAGATACAAGAATGTAATCTGCAATGAAAAAGAATATACACGTATAACTGAACCACTATGCTGTACACCAAAAACTAACACAACATTGTAAATCAACTATACTTCAATGAAAAGAAATGAGTAAGACTACTCTAGATTTCAACAGCCTGGTGGAATAGACTCAACTAAACTATCACACAACACAGCAACATGCACCATGAACAGAGGCTGGGCTGGGGAGCGGAGAGGTAAGGGGGACAGGGGAAGAGAGAGCTAAGCTTTGAAAGAGGAGAATATCCTTGGGCAGTTTATGGTTCAGGGAGGGCGGGCGAGGAGAGATTCTAAGCAGATTGCACAGTATGAGGAAAAACACACAGGTATGAAAGTTCATGGTGTATTTAGGGAGTAGCTTATACTGAATGCCTGAAGCAGAAAGCTGGGAACTGGGGAAGCGATGAGAAATGTGCTTGGGAAAGTAACGTGGGGCTAGATGTGAAAGGAGCTGGATATGGTGCTAAGAAGGAATTTGTGTTTCTCCTGCTGACATTGAAGGATTTTAAGGACCCACTGCTTGAGGTGAGGGCAACCACTAATACAGCCAGATCAGTGCTTTAAGAAGATAATACATGGCAAGGAGGAGAAAAATCTAGAGAAGAGAGTAATTCATTCATGGTAAATGATAAATATTATTGCAAGAATATATTAGGCAATCCCTGATGGTCCAACCTAGGGAGGTGAAAAAGGTTAAAAACCACGTATTTAAGAGACATTTATGAAGCAGAATGGATATAACCTAGCAATCAGCCTCATATGGAAATGAGCAGTGAGAAGTACGAAGATAAGCCTAAAATCTCTAGGCTGGGTGACTGTAAACAGTAATTCCCTAGAGCAGGATTTATGGAGAATATAGTAAGTCTGGTTTTAAACAGGCTGAGTCTGAGACACTAAATGAAGAAGAACTTCAGGTTACTGTAAGCATGAAACTAGAACTCAGGAAAAACATCAGGTAGAGTTTGGGAATCAACTTCATAGGTGCGAATACCGAAGTCATAGGAGGAGACGATGTCATTCAGGAGAGAGGTGAAAAGGAAGGAGACAGATTTCCTATTTCATATCATCCAAATGACAGAGCTGTCTGAGGTGCTGTGCTGAGAAAGAATTTAAGGTCGCCTTCAGGTATAGTGGGAAAGAGTGTCATAAATGACGACTAGGACCTACCGTTGGTTCCAGAGATGGAAGTGATTGCACCTGTGGCAGGTGTGACCCATCCTCAGTAAGCAGAGATTCAAAAACAACCTGCTGGAAGCCACCAGTCCTTCAGGGATGGTGGGAGAGCTGTGCTGGTAAAAGAGAATAAGAAGAACAGTCAGAGTTCGAAGAAAAATGAGCCGGTGCCCAGTACTGTACTTAGTTCAGTATCCCAGACATCACAGTCTTTAATTAAACCTTTGTTGAAGGAATGGTTGAGTTGATACAGTGAAGTGTTGACAACTTATACTGCTATTGGGGCAACTAAAAAATCAGCAGCCTGATTCATAATAGTAGTAACAACATCCTCAGGTGTGTTTGGTTAAAGAAATTAACGCTTTGGTTACTTTCTTCGGAAGAGCATGCTATTTTCCCTCTTTGCACATAAATACGGAAATTATTCAAGTGTCGGTCATTTGGAATACTTGGGATAATTATCAAAGCAGTAACAGGGAAAAAGTCTGTATGATTTGATGTAAAAAAAATCAGATTGAGAAAGTAAATGTAGAAAAATAATAATAGTTAAAGAAAAACGGCAGTGAAGGAAGGGCACTCTTTGGAAGGTATACAGAGAAAAGTGAGCAAAATTCTCTTTTATACCCTAAAAGGCAAATTTTTTCAAGAAGAAAAAGAAAATGCTCCATCTACCTGGATAATGTAGAGACTCAATCAAATAGTCTACCTGCAGTGGTCAGGTAACCACCACCACTCTGCTATTTAGGTGGTTTTTGTTTTTTTTTTAATTGAAGTATAGTCAGTTACAATGTGTCAATTTCTGGTGTACAGCAGAGTGTCCCAGCCATGCATATACACATGTATATTCATTTTCATATTCTTTTTCATTAAAGGTTATTACAAGATAGTGAATACAGTTCCCTGTGCTATACAGAAGAAATTTGTTTTTTTAATCTATTTTTATATATAGCGGCTAACATTTGCAAATCTCAAACTCCCAAATTTATCCCTTCCCACTCCCTTTCCCCAGGTAACCATTAGATTGTTTATTATGTCTGCGAGTCTGTTTCTGTTTTGTAGATGATGTCATTAGTGTCCTCTTTTTATCCTTTTTTTAGATTCCACATATGAGTGATATCATATGGCATTTTTCTTTCTCTTTCTAGCTAACTTCACTTAGAATGACAATCTCTAGGTCCATCCATGTTGCTGCAAATGGCATTATTTTTTCACTTTTTATGGCTGAGTAGTATTCCATTGTATAAATATATCACAGCGTCTTTATCTACTCATCTGTTGATGGACATTTAGGTTGCTTCCATGTCTTGGCTATTGCATATAGTGCTGCTATGAACATTGGGGTGCATGTATCTTTTCAAATTAAGAGTTCCCTCCAGATACATGCCCAGGAGTTGGACAGGTGGTTTTTATCTAAAGAGATTTTGCCTCTGAAATTAGAGTCTAAAAATAATTAACCATTCGTCCATTCAATAATTCAGAGTATCAAACCTATGTAGGAAACTGGTCAACCAGTTATGATTGTGTACAGGGTAAACAAAAGGATGGGGGGATTTAGAAACAGGTGTTTCTAAATGTAGTTGCTACCATGAGGAGACAACATTTTGGGATTGTATTACCTCCGCTGGATTGTAGTAGGGTACGGACAGCAAATGCCAACACAAAGACACAAATAACTAGACTATTCAGCAATTATAATACATATGGTGAGATAAAGTCCAAAGAAGAAAGAAATCACATCTGCTTTATTGCAGAAAGGAAGATGATCTCAAGTTTCTTTGACGAATGTAGGATTTGCATTGAGTCTTAAAGGAAAAACACATAAAATTTTAGTCTTTGGGTGGCAGAAGGTAAAGCCAGGCAGGTAACTTGAGTAAGGGCAAAGGAAGAAAAGTCCAGCAAGTTCTGGAAGAGGGAATGAACCCATTGAGCTAGACACCTGATGAATCTTGGACAGCGCTCTTCACCTCCTCATCTTACTCAGCTCACCCTTGGTGTTTCCTTTGGCTTTGGGTCAGACATTGGCTGCCTGGGGTCCCGCCAAAGGAGGAAGAGGTGCCAAGGTGCCGCCATGCTGGCTTCCACCTCTCACACTTTGTGATGCTCTGCTGCGATGACGGCACAAGGTTTTGCAAGCCAGCTTCCCCCAGCTGTTGGAAGGAAGAATTTACTGATGCAAGCCTGAAAAACCTCAGAGGACCTAAAACAAAAGCACACTCAAGTGGGAAGGCAGGCATCAGTTATTTTGCATGTGCTGTGAGGAGGTGCTGGAGGAGGGACACCAATATTTCTGAACTTTTGTAGTTTTCACTGTTGGAAAATATGATTTGTCTTTGGATAAAGGTCCCAGGTTTTTTGTTTTTTGTTTCTTTTTCTGGGAAGCACAGGTTTGTTTGTTTTTTTTAAAGCTTTTTAATCAGGCAGATGTGATGCATTCTATTTACTGTTCTAGGAGCAGCCCTGAATTGGCAGTCTAAACTTGGCTGTTTCTAACCGAGAGACAGAATAGCTTTGCTGTGATTAAATGCTGGACTTTTGACTTCCATTTCCCAGAATTTGGTATAAGCTCCTTGACAGCAAGATCTTTATTTTATGCTTCTTTATATCTGCCACATTTTCTATTGCTTAACACATTATTCTGTTGGTGGAATATTGCCTGGCCCTTACTTTCCTCAGTCTTCTAAACACGTAACATTGAGATAAAGAGAGCTCTGAGAAGGATTTTCATTATCCCTTAAGGCTTTTAATGGTTTAGATAAAACTTACATTTTAACAGTATAAAATTAATGCCTACTTCACAATAGCCAAAAGGTGGAAATGACCCAAATGTCCATCAACAGATGAATGGATAAACAAAATGGGGTATAGACACACAATGGAATATTATCCAGCCATACAAGGGAATGACATTGTGATACATGCTATAACATGGATGAACCTTGAAAACATCATGCTAACTGAAAGACGTCAGACACAAAAGGCCACGTCTTGTGTGACTCCGTGTTTATGAAATATCCAGAACAGGCAAATCTACAGAGACAGAAAGCAGATTAGTGGTTGTCAGGCACTATGGAGAGTAGGTTGTGGGGAGTGAATGCTTACTAAGCACAGAATTTTTCCCCTTTGAGGCAATGAGGAAGTTCTGGAACTGGACGGTAGTGACAGTTGCATAACATTGTGAATGAACTTACTACCACTGAATTGTAGACTTTAAAATGGTTAAAATGTTAATTTTATGTTACATCTACTTTACTAAAAATAAATAAATAAATGAGTTAATTCGTGCTCTTAGTGAAAAATTTACCCCTCACTAAATTAAATTCTTTGAGCGTTAGAGTTGCCAGATAAAATACTATACTTATACTAAAAAATTATTCTCTGTTTATCTGAAATTCAATTTTAATCGGATGTCCTGTATATTTCTGGTTTGCTAAATCTGGCAACCCTGTTGAGAGTGGTGAATTTGTTTTTGTCATTGCTTTATTCCAAGCACTCAGGACAGCGTCTGGGATGTGCTAGGCAGGCCCTCAATAAATATTTGTTACATGAATATAAATTTGAAAAGGCATATACATATAGAAACTAAATGATAGAAAGAAATGGAAATAATTTATAAGTCCACTGACCAATAAAAACAACTCAGAGTTTCTGTCCACTTCTACTTAGAGCCTTTACTTCTGTGTAATTTTTTCCCCCGGTTGTTGTCAATACCTGGGACAACTGCATAGCCTACTGTTTTCACTGGTGAGTTTAACACAAGCATCCATCATACTCCAGACTCTCCTAATAAACATAAATTGAAAAAGCTGAACAATGGCATATTGTGTAGATATATCATAATTCCTTTACCGATTTTCATATTGTCAAATAATCTACTGCTTTAAATGTTCCCATGTTTTATATCACGTATTAGTAAACAACAAACAGCTGGTCTCTAAAACTTTGTTGTTGAACATCCTAAGATAAATTCATAGAAACAGAGTTACTAGATCAAAGGAAATAGATATCTTATGGCCTTTGCTCTGTAGTAAAAACTGATTTCCAGAGGATTAGGTTCACATATATGTCCACCTGTGATGAATTTAAGTGCTCATTTAATCACTCTGGCCAATATCTTTATGACAGCTTGAAATCTTTGCTAATTTAGCAGAGGAAAGAGAATATCTTGTTATGAGTTTTGACTTTTTAAAAAATAAAAATTGAACATTTCCCCACATATTTGCTGGTCAATCATTTATTCTTTTGTGACTAGCCTTTGCTGATTTATTTAGTGGAAGGTCTTACTGTTCTTATTTATTTCTATGCGCTTATGAGTCAGAGATATGAATCCTTCACCTGGCATTCTTTTAATAAATATTATCTTCAGTTTACTGTTAAATTTTGGTCGTTCCTTTCATGAGAGGGGCTTTATTAAAGAATAAGATTGCTGGTTTATTTGTTACTGTATCTTAGGATTTCCTTTGGCCTGAAGTGCAGGGTCAGCATCCCCTCAGGGTCTTGGTATTAGGGGAGAAGACAAAAGGAATGGATGCAGAGAAAAAGCAAGAGGAAGTGATCACTGGTGAGCAACGTTATCCAAATGGCTTCCCTTCTTCCCTGCTAGGGTTTTGTTTGTTTCAGTCACCGGTAGACGGAAGTCTGCTCTACCTGCTTCGGTGTGTGTAGCCTGACTGTCAAGCCCAGCTGGGCTAGGATGTCTTGCCTCAATTTTTCATTTTGTAGAGAATTCACTTTGCTTGTTTGATTCTGGTCATTTTTACACCCATTCAGTTTTTTGGCGTTGCAGACCAATATTCGTGGCACTTACACAATGGAAAGTTGAGCCTTGGAGAATTCATTTTAAGATATGGTTACCAAGAACACCTTATAGCTAAAGTTCAGGACAGCCCTCGAGGACACTAAAATTGATGCACTAAGAACAACTCAGCTCAGACAAACTGACCCTGTGACAACAGACCAGAGCACAATTTGATCGCTGAGATGTGGGAAGAAAATACGAAAACTTCTACTTACATTTACTGTAGGTCACATTTTAAAGTTATTATTTATTCACTTTATAATGTATATAATATTTTTGTAAATAAACATCAATTAGAAGACTGTACTTTTTTATGATAAGGGTGCACAAAAATGCCTTGGAAATGACTGGAAAGTATAACGATTGAGTGAAAGGGGCACGGAAAAAAAGAGTAAAAATTGGGAGTGGCACCAAGTAGGGCTTCATCCACATCTGTTAGTCGTCTGTTGCAGAGCCGAATGGTATCCAAAAGTTACTATCGTAAGATTATTTTTCACTTCTTTTGAGAGTAGTTGAATGAAATCTGACTGCACTGAGGAAATTTACTCGGGACCCTACTAATGGTGAGCCATCAGTAACTTTAGAGCAAAACCCCTTTCTGAACCCAGACGGAATGATATTATTTTAAACCAATCCAATGAAGTTTTATTTCTAAGAAGTGTCCTGCTCAGCAGTTAAGGAAGACAAATGAACAGTTAGGCTTTGCAGGATAGGAGTTTCTGACGTATACTAAGTACACTGCGTTTTGTGAACTACATTTTTTTTTTTTTTACCATTTCAAATTTGTTCTGTCACAATTCTATATTCTGGAAATGAAGCCCTTGTCAGTCGCATCATTTGCAAGTATTTCACCCTAGTCCATGTGTTGTCTGTTTGTTTTGTTTATATTTTCCTTTGCTGTGCAAAAGCTTATACGTTTAATTAAATCTCACTTGTTTCTTCTGGCTTTTATTTCTTACTGCCTTGGTAGACTGACCTAGGAGAACATTGTTACGATCTGTCACAGAATGTTTTGCCTATGTTTTCTTCTAGGAGGTTTACGGTATCTTGTCTTATGTAAATCGTTTTTTTTTGTCTTATGTAAATCTTGAAGCCATTTGAGTTTATTTTTCTGTATGGCGTGAGGGAGTGCTCTAACTTCACTGGTTTACACACAGCTGTCCAGGTTTCCGAAAACCACTTGCCATAGAGACAGTCTTGTCTCCATCGTATGTTCTTGCCTCCTTTCTCAAAGACCGATTGACCATAGATGTGTGGGTCATCACAAATCTAACATCATCACATAACAGATACCCAACATCTCTGTATTCCCCCTTTCGAGTCTGTCAGACACTAGGGAAGCGATGGCTGCGACGCTTTGAGCCTGTCCCCTTTGTAGCATCTGCTCAGCTCACAGCAACTGCTTTATGGCACTCCCATCCCACAGAGGCCAGGCCCCTGCAGCCACAGCAAGAAATACGACCTATTCTCCAAGAAAAGCTTTTGTTTTCTTTATGGTGTTGACCACAACATGGTGGGAAGCCATATTCCTCCATGAAGATTAAGGGAGCAGGGGAAAGTCATGGCAAAAGAGACAAAGGAAAGAAATAACACACAGAGACATGGAGAGCTGAGGGGCAGGATTATGGACTTTCTGGAGATTCCCATTTTCAGTACCCAAGAGCCTCGTTTTCCCTGGAATTCTAAGAATTCCCTTGAATTCCTCTGAATTCCCTTGAATCATTAAGTGCCTGTAATTCATTTTTCTTTTTGTTTTTTAAAAGCTAGCTAAGATTGGCTTCAGATCCCATCACCCAGAGTCCTAGTGAATACACTACTTACATCTTGGACTTCGCAACTTTAGAGGGTGGGGCAACGTGTTGGCAGAAGGAAGGCTGTTCAGTCTTCTATCAGAAGGCATGCTGAAAAGCCCAGGGTGGCTTCTGACCTGCTTAATCCAGCAGTCACCACTTCCCTACAGCTTCCTTCACGTATCTGCTCATGGTCTGTGCGATGGACTGACTGCGGTGCTAAAGAGGCCAAAGTCACTGGCTTTCCTCTAATGACAGTTACTTTTCAGTATATTGTACGGCCAGAAACTTACTCTCTACAATTAACCAGCTGTGCCACTTGGAGTGTATCTGCGGGTCTGTGGGAGTACTTTTCCAGCGAAGCCGTGGGCTCCTGGGAGCTTTTTTCTGCAGAAGTAGAGGAATAGGGATTTGACAGTGGCCAGGCTTGAAAATTGTAAGAGTTTATTCTCTAATGGCCCATCAGATGGTGATGAGCACATATTTCTGAGCAGCAATAAGTTCCTTACGGGCAACTGGGAGCCCAACTTAGGTGTGATTTGGATCAATAGGAAATTACTTTGTAGTCAGAATGGTGAGGTCTGAGCATACGAGTTACACTCTCTGCAGATAAGAAATTCTGCTTAACTCATCAGCAGACAGCTGCTCACCCAATCTGATCCGAAGGATATAGCAAGGTTTCTCTCTCCCAAAACTAATTTCCTTGCAGAGGACATCACCCACCCCTACAGGAAATTCCAAACCTCTTTGTTCAGACAATTTAAGGGGAGCCAGGAATTGTCCCCAGAAGGTTAGTGTTAAACTGCAGATGTTATCTGGGAGCAAAGGAGAATCCTGGGGGTTCTATTGATCTCCGCTCATTGTACAATGGTGAGCATTGGTTTATTATTAGACTAACAAACTGTTGCCTAGGAAACTAGAAAAGAGAAGAGGTGGGGTGAAAACTGCGGGTGAGGAATAAGGTTAGAGGATGTTATCAAATAACTTGGGGTAGACATGGATCCTCAGGGCTGAGCACGAAAGGTTGGCACAAGCAGAGCCCACACAATGGCCCCATTGTGGTTGGGATGCTAGAGAGACCAAGGGCAGCGTGAAGAAATGTCCTGGGTGAGGGCACAAAAGCAGAATGTCTCAAAGACCCCAAAGGGTTACCTTGGCTATCTTGCTGATCAGAACCACTGGGTATTTGAAGAATGTGTATTAATACATGGAATTACTCTCCTGGGTTCCTCAGATATCCAATATAATTGTGAGAATATAAAGATCAAGTTATAAATGACTACTTTTGTTCTTCTGCTCTTTTTTTTCTCTAAAAAGATTACCTTCCCCTTACGCGAAGAGGATTCATGGTGGCCATGTACAGAATTGGCTGGGAACAGATTTATGCCCACACTAATCCACTGCTGCCCAGGTCAACCCTGACAATGGTGAAACCGGCATGTCTTCTAACTAGAGATGCCAAGATTTAGCAAATAAAAATACAGGATATCTAGTTTAATTTGAATTTCAACTTTAACTGCATGTTCTGCACCTTACCTCGCAACTCTACTTTGGAACTAATGAGGAGTGTCTTTTTCTCATAAACTTGTCATATTTCTGTAGAAAGCAACTAACACTGGTAATTAAAGATTCAATTCAACTCACGAAACAATGACTAGCAGGCACTTCCTTTTTTACAAAGTATTTATTGTGCTAGGTGGGCTGTGGGGAAATCAGACATAATTAAAATACGGCCACTGTTTCTCATATGCTATAATCTAAGGGGAAAAACGTGTGTGTGAATAACTGTCCATATTACAAGGCAGAAGGCAATGTGCCAAACAGAGTGTATTAAGACTACTGAGGAAGGAATGATTAAATCTGATGGGCAGAATCTGGATGGGACTTTGAAGAACAGGCAGGACCTCTGGGCACAGAGAAGGAAGGAAGGCTATTCCAGGCTCAAGGAACAGTAAATATGAGCAGAAGCTTGCAATAATGAATAGTTCAGTCCATGTTTGAGAAGGGGCAAGTTGGCTAGTATCCAGAGTGCAGCATAGACAGAGAAATGAGATGGAGTTGATGCTGAGAAAGGTAGGTTAGGGTTGGATGGAGAAGGTTCTCGAATGTTATGCTAACAGTTAAGATTTTCTTTCATGGCAAAGGTATGGAGGCGTAGGAGGAATCCAAGTATTTATTCCAACATGGGAAGCACATAGTCCAGCCTGTACTTTAGGATGACGAATCTGTAGCAATGTAATGATGCTTTGGCAAGGCAAGAGTTTAGAAGCAGGGAGACAGCTTCACAGGATGATTACAATTGTCATCCAGTGAGGAATTATACTTGTGACTTTAGTAAAAAGTAGCTAGTCTCTCTTTAACATACTGAAAAGCCTGCTTTCTGGTTTTGAAGCAGGGTAAGAGCCCCTTCAATGTCCCTTCTGTTGTTGAGCCTGGCCTGTGAGGTCCCACTTGGCCGACTGGCATTTCTTTCCCTGTAGCTGGCATCTCTGTGGACTGCAGGCTGCAACATCCCCTCCACATCTAAGTGACGCACAGGCCAGTTCCTGGGGTAACAAATACCCCTGGACCTCTAGGGACTCATCACTCTGTTCCTACGTAAAGGGAAGTGCTTGAGATGGTTACAGGGAACGGAAGAGGCATGGATGGATTACTTACCAAGAACGTCTTCTCTTCATCAGTTCCTGATTTCAGGTTCTTTATAGAAGGAGTAATTTTATTTTACAATTAAGCATGTATCTTCAGAGTAATGGTGATGCTCTCTTCATTTAAGTTGAGTTTCTGTACTGACCACTTGTATACCTGTAATAAAACAAATCAATACCTATAATTATAATTAAAACTTACTAACAATTATTAAACACTTAAGATGTTCTAGTCACTGTATTAAGTGCTTTATATGAATTATTTAATTTAATTTCCCCACTAGCCCTATGAAAGGATCAAAATGTCATTAAGAGGCAATTCATATAAGAACAATGAAAGAATTATAAATATTATTAAAATTATAAAAGGTGTGTCAAAACATGAAAACTATTTTTAAAAGATGCCATTTTCACTTACCTAATTTGGTAAAGGTTAAGAAGAAAAAACACCAAATGCTGGTTTTGATATAGTCTCATGTATCACTGGTAGGATGAAAATTGGTAAGACTTTTCTGGAAAGCTATTTTCCAGTAAGTGAAATTTTTTTGTGCCCCATGATCTAGAAATTATATGTGAGGGAATTTGTGCCAAAGACATAATTAGAAATGTGTACAAAGATCATGCTGTGAGGATGTTCATTACAGTGTTAGCACCAGGAAATGAAAAACACCAGATTGCTTCACAATAAGAGATTTGTGAATTGTTTTTTCAATTGTTGCTACAAGGATACTTGGTTAGGAGCATCGAAGGTGATGGCTTTTTTGTTCTTTCTTTAAATTTCTTTGGAAAAGGTATTAAAACATTAAAAAATGCTCTCCATGTTAACTAAAACACTACAGATGATAATACAAATAGTATTTGAAAGAAATTATTTAAATTTCCTTAACTTATTTCACTTTACACTCTACTATATCTGTACAGTGGAAGAATAAATATGGCTTAAAAGTTGAGCAGTGAATTTTTTTGGCTTTTCAATTAGCAATCCGTATTCTTCAAAACCTTAAATTTTAGGAACGATTATTATATATTGTTTGTACTAATGTAATTCAGCCCATCAGATAAGTCTTGTCATATTACTAACAATTTTTTTCTCTTTGAGTCTTTTCCTGTAGTGAGCTGTAGTGAGGCTGTAGTGAGCCAGGTTTTTAAAAATTTTTTTTGTTAAAATTTGTTTTATTTTTGAATGACAGAAGAGAAGAGATTTGAGCACCTAGCCAACCCATCAAACTCTTTTTCCCCCTGTTTAAAAGAAATACAAAGAAAGGAAGGAAGGAAGGAAGGAAGGAAGGAAGGAAGGAAGGAAGGAAGGAAGGAAGAAAGAAAGAAAGAAAGAAAGAAAGAAAGAAAGAAAGAAAGAAAGAAAGAAAGAAAGAAAGAAAGAAAGAAAGAAAGAAGGAAATGCTGCTTTAATTTTCTCCTGTTGATTCTTCAGTTTTATTTCTCCCTCAATATACAAACTCAGTTTCATTTAGCCTTTTTGAGTCTATTGGGCTCTCTGTCTAAATTTTTCCATCTACCTGACAGTCAAAAGAACTCCTGGTTTCTATAAGGATTAAGTCAGGAAGCAGTTTTTAACTACAACAAATTGAAACGTTTGCACGAGGAAGTGTTGCTTTTATAAGTGATGGGAAACTTCAAATTTGATTACAAGCAACCTTTGGCTTCCTATCTGTTCAACAATAGGCCATGTTGTTGAGGGCAATTTCCATGCACAGCATGTGGGTCCCATTTTTTCATCCTTAGACATGGTTGTTTACTGTTCAGCACTGTTTATGCATTTTAATCAGGCTTTTTCAGCCTCCCTTAATAAATCACTACAAAGCGAATGTACCAAAACAAGAACTATTATGCAGTATTGGTTGCCCTTACACATTAGTTGCTGCCCTGGAGTTTTTGCTCAGTCCCCAAATTTAAAAAATAGGGACAACAAGAACAAAACCCATAGCCAAGAGTATTATTTTTAGAATTGCAACATCTCTGGCTAAATACCCTCTTTGAGCTCCACTCTTTAACAGTAGGAGCCTGACTTTAAAATTCAGTTCAAGCAAGAATGACTTAACAATTGGAACCTGCCATCAGTCCTGGGACTGAAAGTCTTTTTGATGGGATGAAGCTGACAGCCCAGTTCCTGCCTGGCAGACATTCACATGGAGTGAGCCTGTACTCTTAGTACAGATAAATGTTCAGACATTCAGGTATCTTGCTGTCTGAGAAGAGTATTACCAGTTTAGGCAAGGGTGAGCAGAAGAAAAAGGAGTTTTCAGGCCGTTATGCCTGAGTGAGAAAAGACAATGACTACTTAACATCATGTGGCAAGCAGGCAAAAGAAAAAAGTTTGACCTCTCTTCCCTTCTTAAAGCTAAACTTTCATTTGCTTTCAAACAAACTAAGACAAAAGTACGGACTTCCCTCCAAGAATTTGTTGTCGTTGTTTAGAATTAAATGGGTTAAATCTTAACTTTGGTTTCCAGCATCAAAGACAGATTATTATAAGCTATAATATTTTAAAGCCCAGGCTAGAGGTAAGAATGCTCTGAAGGAAAAAGAAGGCAAAGAGCATTGTACCATGTAGATTTGAATTTTAAAACAAGACAGCACTTAGAATTTACATCCAATGATCAACACGGATGTACTTCAGGACAGTCACTGGAAAATTAACAGCATAAACATGTATTACAAGGGGAGGTTCAGGAGGAGAGTTCATCAACAAGAGAAATGATCAGAAAACATTTTTAAGTGAATAGATGGTCCCCAACCAAGTAATTATTTGGAAATGTTGATGCTAACCTACTTTGCAAAATATCTTGAATCACCCTTTGACATCGCTGTATAAAATCCTCTGGAGTCCCGTGGAATTCAGCAGAGGCATGTCTTTCGCAAAGCTCCTCACAAACCCAGCCAGCCAAAATGCTGTTTTGGATGTGGCCTGTAGGGACTATCTCGTGAGTGAGAAATCAAATTGCCATATGTTTAATTAAGAGGTAGAATAAAGGGTTTGAGGACCTTTTCCAAAAGTATTAATCATGAAAGTGATAGATGTGCTTTTGGAGGTGTTCTGATTTTAATTCCTGCATACCCGATGGTATAGTACAAAAATATTCTGCCTGAAAACTATAAGCTTAGCATTTAATTTAAAAATTTTCTAAATTGTATCAAAGTGCCAAGAAGTTCCACTCTTGACCTATTTCTTTTTGCCTAAAATTTTAATGTCCTTTTTTTTCATAATTTTTTTTCTCCAGTCCAGGTTCTCAAGCTTTGATTCCTCTCCTCAGGAAGCCCCCCTTTCTATTGGATGCATTAGGGATAAAATAGCCTGGAAAATGGTACCTTTTCATAACAACTGAATTTAGTTTTTCAGTAAATTAACTACGATTCTCTTTACTTCTTACTCCATAGAAATTTGAGGCACAGACTGTCTGTTGACTCTTAATGCTGACTCCTTTCTCTTCAGTGAGTGAACACACTTCTGCATAGGTAAAGGAGCACATTTCATCTTGTTGTGGCTAGGTGTGAGAATGTGACTGTGGCCCAGCCAATAAAATGTAAACAGATGTACAGTGTGGGTCCTCCAAGAAGTCTTCCTAAAAGGAAGGCGTTCTCTCCCTCTCATCCCCTGGCTCGCCCCTAAATCCAACTGCCTGGATTATACATGTGATGTTGGAGCTCCAGCAGCCATATGGACCTTGAGGATCAGAGTCACATCCCATAGGTGGCAGAGCAGTGAACAGGAAGGATCCTGAGTCTTGGGTAATTTTATGGAGCCATGATTCCAGTCGTGGACAATGTTAGGTTTCTCTGCTACACACAACTGAAATAATCCTAATGGATGCAGCTGACTAAAGTATGGGAAAATTTTTTTAATGCAAATTTTGATATGATTAGCAAAAACTTATTCAACTATTCTAAAAAAAAAGATCACAAGAATAAAGAGACAGCTTAACTCAGAAGGAATTTTTATACTCAGTAATTCTCCTTTTGCATATGTGCTTTGATAGCTAAGTATCTGTTTGAACCTATAAATCAATTTATGATTTGGATAAATTCTCCCTATGGCCTATGGTAAAAATCATGGATTAGCAAACCATATGGGATTATCGGCATAAGGCTTTGAACTGAATGCTGCCAGACATATGGGGAACGTGTTGGGGATTTGACATGGTCAGTACAAAAATTTTCTTCAAAATCCTGTTTGCCTTAAGAGTTTGTTTTTGGACTGCTCATAGCTTTATTTTGTAAATACATTAATCAGGATAATATCATGGTTATCTGATTATTATTATTGCCAATATTTTTTGAGCGCTTATTAGGTGGAAACACTTTGCTAAGCACTTTACCTATGTAACTTTAATTCTTCCATCTATAAGACAGAGATATAATTATTATCCTCATTTTACAGATAAGGAGAGCAAAGCCCAGAAGATGTATCAGTGGCTTTAGGAAATGGAAGATAAGGCAGTTTAGACTTACCACAGACAACTAGAAAAGTTGGGGGGAATGCCAAAAATGTTGGCTCAAACATACCAGACTGCCCTTGAGGTAGTGAATAATTATAGCCCCCAATTCAGAAGAATACAGAAATAGAAAAATGTGAGTTTAGTATTGAGGGGAGGGTTTACAGGAAGAGGGGAACATTTTCTCTGTTGGAACTTGACTGTTTGAAAAAGACAGCTGAGAGGAGTGCTTGTGGCAGGTTCGCAAGGCTAGGGCAACAAAAGTTGGAGTCAAGGACCTGTTAAGGTTGACAGCTCAGGTGAACACTCTGGCTAGGGATCCTGAAGGGCTACACTTGACTAATAAAGGTGAACCATAAGTAGTCCAGTGCTCACATCTGTATGTCCTAGAAAATCTCAGTTCTTGAAATTGATTAAAGGTAATTCTAGATTGCTAAAATCCCTAGGTGCCTGGGAAAACCAAATGAAACCTATTGTATCCTGGCTTCAAGACTTTTCACAAACAAATTTTTATAAACAAAATATGAGGGAGGAAAAAAGGTGATAAGAAACATAAGGAAAGGGTCTAATCTACATTTAGTTGGAGTAGCAGAAAGAGATAACAAAGAAAATGAAGATAAGCAATATTTAAAGAGATAATGACTGAATTCTTCCAGAAATTTCTGAAAGACAACAAATCACAGGGTTAAGAAACTGTATAA